GTGGCGCCTCCCCGCCCGCCACCTCCCGCCCAGATCCGGGAGCCCCGGGTAGGCGCCTCGGTCCGGCCTGCAGCGACCTCCACGCCCCCGGGGGGGCTGGTCCAGGGGTGCAGGGTGCGGAACAGTGGCTGCGCCCTCGCGAGCCGTGCGCCCCACTTGTGCACCAGCAGGTCCCCTCTGCCAAGAGCGGCTGCCGTCAAACCGCCTAAGGACGCGCCCCGTGCGCCCCACAAACCCGTGAAAGGAGCCTAGAGCTCCCCAAACGCCCGGCGCCCCCAACCACGCATTCCACTCCGAGGGCAACCCTTTGCATGTTCACGCATTCCACGCCGAGGGCAACCCTTTGCATGTTGGGGGCAGGGGCGGGGACAGCGGTCCCTGGGCCTCGTGGGGACCCCGCTCTCCCCGGGGCCGGGGCCGGGACTGGCAGCAGAGGAGGGGCGCCACGCAGCTGCGGGTCTCGCAGGAGTGGTTGCAGCCCCAGTGCCAGGTGAGCGGGGTCTGGATTCGCGCACGGAGGCAGCGTTGGAAACGCCCCTTCCCCGTGTGGCCATCCGTCACAGGTAGGGCGGGGGCTACAGCTTGTCGCTGCCCTTGCTAGCGCACCCCTCGCCGTGGGCCCCTCTTTTCCCGAGGGCGCTGGCCCGCCATCCTCGAGGGTGGGAAGTGTTATCACGGTTTGGGTGTCCGTGCCTCTGACCCCGAATGAAGTCGGGTACCGGTTGGCCGTTGGTATATTTTTGGAGAAATGTTTATTCAGATACTTTTCTCATAAAAACAAAGAGACGCATGTGTGTCTTTGTCTCCTGGTGGATTTGTAAGCGTGCCTTAGATATCCGTAAAAGCATAAATGAGATCTTTTACTGGACTGCGTTGAGGTGGGAGTCCAAGGCTTTGGAATCATTAAGGTCCTAGCACAAAAACAAAAGCCCCGAGTTTTTCCATCTGGGTGTGGGGATGAGGCACCGCACGTCGCAGAGCGTGGACGCCACCTCTCACTTTTAGAAACAGACTTTCGGTTGTTGTTGTTGTTTGTTTTTGATGCCTTAGTAAAAAAAAAATTTACATAGCACCTTGTAAATCCGCTCGTAGCACGCTGAGAACAGGATGACGTCACCCAGTCACGCGCTTCATTTGGGAGGGCTTGAATGGAAAAGAAATGCATGTACACAAGCAACTCGGAAACATGCATCCTGACTTAAAAAATGTATGGAGGCAACACATCCATTTGACGTGTACAGTAGATGTTCGGTAGTTCTTTGTGTATTTAGAGAGCTAAACAACCGCCGTTACGATGAAAGTTTATAACCTTTACATCATCTCTAAATGAAACCCAGTGCCCGTTAACATTCGCTCCTCTCTTCCCCAGCCCTCGGCAGCGGCTGATCTGCTTTCCATCGCAGTAGACTTGTCTGTTCTAGGTTTTCGTGTGCATGGAATGATACAGGCGTGGTCTTTTGTGTCGGGCTTCTTTCCTTGAGCATCACGTTTTAGAGATCTATCCATTTTGTAGCATGCAGCAGTGTTTCATTCCTTTTATTATTTTTAAATAATAAATAATTTTTAATAATAAAAAAATAAATGATTTCCCCTCAATCATTTTACTGAGATATGATTCACACACCACACACTTCCATAGTTCCGTCATATTAAAAAGAATGAGCTGTATAGATGTCACGACAATCAGCTCTGGAACATCTTTCTCCTGTATTCAGTATTTGCTCCTATGCCCCTCCTCCCTCCTGTATCCCCAGTAAGCCGTCACACCAGCTCCAATGCTTTTTTATGACCCAGTAATATTCCACTGGATGGCTGTAGGGTGCCCTGGTGGTGCAATGGTTAATAATTCTGCCGCCAACTGAAAGGTCAGTGGTTCCAGCCTCCCAGCCACTGTGGAGGAGAAAGCTGTGGCAGGCTCTTCCACAGACAGATCTTCATCCTTGGAAGGCCCATGGGGCCGTGCTACTCTGTCCTGTAAGGTGGCTAGGGGTCAGAATCCACTCCAAGATCACCGATTTTCATGGGTGTGGCTCTATCACTTTTTACCTATCCATTCATCTCTTGAATAAATATATTTTTATCCACTTTTTATCTAGTATGAACAATGCTGTTATGAACATTCCTATACAAGCCTGTGTGGGAATAGGTTTTTCTTTCTCTTGAGTAGACATGCAAGAAATGGAATGCCTGGGTGTGTTTGTCTGGGTAGACTATAGAAACAAGTCCAGAAACACTCATATATGTGTACGAGGGAACTTTATATCAAGAAGTAAATATGCATCAATAAAGCATCTCAGTCCAGGACTGGAAAACACTCCTAAAGGCCAACAGTCCTTGAACTAACTACAAGCTTTTCTTTCTTGTTGTGTGTT